ATGGATGATAATTTTGATATGTTGGCATTTGTAAAAAATATTTCAAAAACAAAAATTCCATTTATTAAAATCGATTAAGCTATGAATATCCAATACACCGAATAATCAAAACATTGGAGACATCTTAAAATTACCATTGCCATCAGCAGTGGGGTTATATAAGTGATGAATATTGTTAGTTACCACGAAGAGGCGTCGGATACAATCTCATACCCCAGCCACTTCGCTGTTTAATTAATGGTAATTCAGGTAGTGGGAAGACGAACTTGTTGTTGAATCTGATTTACAACCCTAGTGGCGTGCTGTTTCGGAATTTATATATATTTAGCAAATCGATTGAACAAGAGGCATACGTGGAATTACGTCAAAAGTACACGGATATAGAGCGGACATTGAATAGGAAGATTGTGTATTTCTTTAGCAATTGTGAAGATTTACCCCCTTTGGAGGAGTGTAAGAAAAACTCACTTGTTGTGTTCGACGACTGTTTGATGGAAAAGCAAGATGTTATAAAAAGCTATTTCATCAGGGGCAGACACAGGAACTTATCGTGCGTCTATCTGAGTCAGAGTTATGGTAGGGTTGATATGCAAGTCATACGTAACAACGTGAACCTGTTGTGTGTTTTCAAGCAGAACAAGCACTACACGAAGCGTATCTATGACGACTTTGTGGGCGCCGATATGACGATTGGTGAATTTGAAACAATGTGTAAGAAATGCTGGAGCGAGCCGTTTGGATTTTTGTCTATAAATATGACTAAAAAGCCGCACAATGGCAAATATATGCGCAACCTGAAAGACACATTGACAAACGATATTACTAAAGGGGGTGTTTGATGTTAAACGTGATATTTTAGAAATCCGTGTGTATGCAGCGTTTTTTTGCAGACCCAACAATAAACGCTATATATACGTGATATTTTCGAAATCCGTGTGTATGCGGTGTTTCTTTGCAGACCCAACAATAAACGCTATATATACGTGATATTTTCGAAATCCTTGTGTATGCAGTGTTTTTTTAAATCATAATACATATGAAGACATGATGTTTTTTAATGTAAAATTAACAAGGTTTTAATGGTTTATACTTAATTTTGTTTTCAACCTTTTTTGTGAAATAAAACTGGAAAAGTCGAAACATTTATAGATATGAAAAATAAGAGGAAAACCGACGATAAAGACATTATAAAGACGCTGATAAAAAAACAAAAGATGGTGGATAAAAAGTGGCCCGACGAAATGACTTCTGAGGCAGCAAGAAGAATTGAAAAACTGCAGGAACAGTGGAAAACAGATGTTGGAATAAATCAACAAGAACAGGCAAAAGAGATGAGAACCGTTTTCAGTGTGCACCCGACTTTCTCTACTAAGCCGAAAAACCAAATGCTACTACCGACTAAACGCGAAAACAAACCCCTAACTGTTAATGAGGCTAGGGTGTTGGATAAGCTGCAGGACAAATTAAAGAGTGATTCTGAAACCGTACGAGTATCTGAGGCCGATAACGCACGTAAACGGGAGGAAATTCAGAAGCCTATTGTTGAGGCGATAAAAGAACAGACCGAAACTATTAAGCTTGAAAGAAAACCTAAACGCATACAGGTCATCAGAAAACCGGCGGACACGTTTCGACCCAGACTATCTAGCACACCCAGTAGGAGTGATGTCCCTTCAGAATCACCTAAAGATCCAGAGGACTTGTTTGAAAATCCTACACCGGCTGTGGAAGCTGAGGAACAGCAAAATCGCTCGATCCGCGAATTCACAGAAAATGAAAATATCGGAAGCATCGCAAAACAATGTCTCGCATCCAGTAATGACAAAACTTTTGGCTTCTATTACGACTTCAACAACAACAAACTCGCGATCGGATCACAGCCTGTGTCGATCGAAAACAACGACATCATTTTAGACAAAACGATGGACAGATATGTCGGAACTCCGGGATTGTGGAAACTCTTGACGAGGGCGGAACTCCCCGGTATATATTCCGAATCGGCTGTTGGTCACTCATCGAAGATGAGGCTTATAAGCGCGGGCGTGTTCACTTCACAGGATTTTGAAAAATACAAAGACATCTTAATTAAGACGCACGCCCTGTATCGAAACAACGATCCTTTATCGCGTAGGCCCAAGTCGAGTGGCGGTTGGAAATGGACAAACTTGATAAGCGATATATGGAAGGATTTTAAAAACGACTCTAAAGCACAGGGTAAGGGTCTACTAATAGACTCAAACAACCCTGTGGAATACAGATATATAGACGATTACAACGAACTGAGTGACAGAATAAAGTTCATACAGGCCGAGGAAGAGGCCGGCAACAATAGATTCAACAATGAGAAACTCGCCATTGTTAAGCTCTTGGGCGATAAGATGGAAAAAGCTATCGCTGGACCAAAGGGTATCTCGACTTTAAACGAGTGTCTAACAGCGCTCTCGGAGGAAAATGGGATAAGCTCTGTTTTGTCTAAAAGTTGTAGACACAACGGTTTAGTGTCGGACAGAAAAAAATATATACACATGTTCAACAGAAGATGAATTTGTTACAACTTTTGTGTTCTGTGTTGATTTCTTAAAAACGACATTGTGAGGTTTTATATTTTTTATTGGGGATTGAAAACTCGAAATCTATATATAGATATGGAGAAATATTATAATGAGGCATCCGACAAGATCGAGAGGTGTGAATACAACACCGTGCTGCCCGTGTCGGATCTGAACTTTAATTCGCCCAATAAATATATAGTGTTCAAATTAGACCACGGGGATTCGTTCTACGACAGACGCATACAGTTCCATATACAGGGCGAGGTGGTCAAAAAGGCAGGTGGGGCTTATACCCAAGCGGATCCGATCAGGCTCATAGACAATTTTGCAGCATTTCTGTTTAAAAGAATCGAACTGAGAAAACACAATCAGCTGATCGACTCTGTGGACGAGGTGGGCATCACTAGCACAATCAAGGCGTTGACGACGTACAGCAAATCTGGCGAAAATACCTACAACAGCAGTGGGTTCAAATCGAAATTCGACAGAGGGGGAGGCAAGTTTGAGGCCATAGGCACACTTTCCCACTTGGGATTGGCGTTTTTCGATAGTCAGTTATACCCCATGTATAAGGGCGGATTCGAAATCGTCTTTACACGCGCCGAGGACAATGACGCCATTTTCCGCTGGACAGAAGGCGTTGCACCTGCTGCAAAAACGGCTGACGAGGGCAAGATTAAAATCACACACTTTGTGTTGAGGGTGCCCCTCGTCGAATACGACCCCGTGAAGAAGGTGCCGCTCATAGAAGGGCTCAGGAGGCTGAGCGACAAAAACGACTTGCAATACAGATATTATACTTGGCAGTGTGTCGAAAAATTTGGCGTATTCGGCTCGTCGTTTAGTTTTGATGTATCAAACATATTCAGGAATGTTTCCAACCCCGTATTCGTAATCGTGGGTCTGCAGACGAATCGCAAGAACGATCAAACAAAGGACCCCAGCAAATTCGACAGTGTCAATATAAAAAACTACAGTGTGAAAATAAATGGCTTGCGCTATCCACAAGAGCCGCAGAACCTGAACATCACGGACAAACAATACGGCGTTTTATACGAAAGCTACTCCGCCATACGACAGGTGTTGTTTAAAGACGAGGATGTGTATCTAAACGATGTGGACTTTATAAATAATTACCCACTGATCGTCGTGGACACTCATCATCATCCGTTTAGCAGCGACACGAACAGAAACGACGTTCAAATAAATTTGGACTTTACGAACACCGTAAGTAGTCCAATAGCCGATCAGGGGACAACCGCTTACGTTGTAATTATTTCAGAAGCGGGGTTCACTTATGACATTAATAAGAATTATATTAAAATGTTCTGATTCATATTTTTTTTTTTACAACACAAAAAGTGTACAACAAACGTTTAAAATACAAACCGCTTTCGGCCTGAATAAATTATTAATATATGAAATACGAATTACTAATATAGGAATGGATAATTTTGCAACGCTGATTTGGAAACAATACAGGGAACCAAAAGGAGTTCTCACAGACAATTTTGTCAGAAGGTTCGATCGCCATGTCGACTGGGGTCTGCTTTCGGGGTATTATGCCTTAAACGCGCCTTTTGAATTTATCAGAATGTATCAACACCGATTGGTGTGGGCGACTCTACTACGATTTCGCACATTTTCAGAAAGCGAACTCAATGAAATGATGATTAATTTCGACAACGAGTGTTGGCTGGTGTTGAGCAAATATCAAAAACTAACAGAGGAATTTGTTCACAACCACAGATATAAAGTGGATTGGGAGATGATTGGAAAACACCAAAATGTCAGTGATGCATTTTTGAACAATCATAAAAGATATGCATCCACCGAAAGAGACTACTGAATGGTGTAATTGAAAAAAAAAATATGTTTAATCTATATTTTCAGCCGCTTGAATTTCCAGCTCTGCGACTAGTTCAATCGGCACTTTGTAATGCCCCCACGGAAGAGTGTCAATGCCGTTTTCTAGAATGAAGCGTTTATCATCATGGGCAGATAGGGACTTTTTGTGCAGCTCTATCGAGTAGAGGTTGTGGCCCTCGCTTCTTATGGAGTTCATTGTTTTATAAATGTCCACACTGTCAAACAGGCAAGTCTTATAATCGTCGAACGTCAGCTCGTGTTTTACTACGGACTTCTTCACACCTTTGGCCTTCTTTCCGCTTTTTTTTCTTTTCGTCCTCGTATGCGTACATCTTCGACCTCAGACCCACAAACTCCCTCATCACCACACCGGCGAGCTCGTCTTTCTACTTGCCCAAGACCTTCTTGTTTACGCGGGGCATGTCGTAGGGGTTATTTTCTTTGTAGTCGCTGGTATCGAAATGCTCAATCATGCTTTTCACATCTTCATAAACATCATTGGTCTCTATGACCACATTAAGCGAATCAGTGTCTGTATACTCAACTCTAACCCTGTCGCCGTATTTCCTCTTCAAAACATTATAATGGAAGTCGTAGAGGAACGTCTTCGATATGTCCAAAACATTCATTCCGACATAAATGGGCTTGTTGAAATAACAGGTGGTTTTTGCTCATATGAATAGCGGCCAGGTTTTCTGTGAAAACGGTGCTGCTCTTGAAATTGGGCCGGGCAACCCACTTCTCTACCTGTCTGTCTTGTGTGGCGAGTCGGATGTCCACGCGGTTCCGGATGTTCTCCATAGTTTTTCCAAACACCGAGTTGTTCATGAGTTTAAAGAAATCCTTTTCAAAATCGTTGGCCGCCTTGGTTCTCATATCTGTGTTCAGATCTATATACGACTTCAACCACGGTCCTTGGTCAAACATTATGACTCTATGGATTTTTTTCAGCCTCATCCCCAACGAGAGGTACAATTTCAAGTTGCGATAGTGCAGTACGTATTTTTCTTTTTCATAGAAGGTGGTGAGTAGCTTTTTAGTTTTCGAACCCGGAGGCGATCGTAACTCTGGTGCTAGTGGGAGATCTCTGTGCGCGTCATGCAGCTCTTTAGGATACTCCAAATCAACCTCTAGTATATAGCCAGTCGAGGATGTGTCTGACACCCCACGTACGTCGAAATTATCTATGTGTTCTAACCACCGTATATTCCCATAACATAGCGACGACACCATAGCAAAACCATACATATTGTTCTGGTCCAGGTATAAAAGATAGGAGTTGGGTTTCTCCGGATCGTAATCGTGCATATATGGGTTGTTGGCCTTAGCATATCGGTGGCAACACTGCGAGACCCCTCCTCGAATTCCTTTGGTGATCATTAGCACCATCTCATAGTCTGTTAACTGATCCAGACTTACTCCTGTGATTTTCAACATGGCGTCCCACGCTAAGCCCGGAGAGGTATAATACCAAGCCGGATCGAGTTTGTAGGTATTCATACAAACTTCACGAAAGTTCTCAATGACGTCCGCAAGGAGCAGCGTGTCTGTTCTGTTATACAGCGCGGTGTATTCTTTTAGGTTTTTAATCTGGAAACTCTCCCACACTTTGCAGGCGTGCTCGTAGTCGCTGTCCTCTATGTTGGATTTATTTAATCTGTTGTAAAATGACTCTTTCGGGGGTAAAGCGGTCTCATCAAACTTTTCAATACAGTCCATATAATCGTATGGATACACTCCTTTTTTGCACACCAGTTCTAGTTTATCCCCACTGAAATATTTTGAAGTGTGTCGAAACTGATCTCTGTTTAGGTTGTTAACCAAACTATCGAGGCTAGAAGGCATGAATCTGAACGAATCTAAAAATCGTAAATTTACACCACCGGGAACAACCACCTCATAAGATATGTATTTTTCTTCATTATTAGGCACAACACGAATGTTCTCATTGTTTATACCGAACATCTTTATAAACAGGTGGGTGTCGTAATAATTACTCAAGTTGTGAACAAAGATTGGTATGAAGTTGGGTTTGCGGAAATTCAGATTACAAACTTTATGTGCCACACCTCGAAACCTCCCGGAGAGATGGTCGTGGTCGAGAGCTCTCTCATCTTTTTTGTTAAAGCGCCTACAACAAATATGACAGCTACTAGCACCAGCTATAGCTAGACGATCATCATCTGTTAAACGCATGGGTTTGGCAGCATCTCTACTGTATAATGTGGCTACTTCTTTAGATACATTCTCAATGCTTTCAACAAACATCTTTGCGGCATCTGGACCAAAATAATCAATTGGGTCCTTATAATCACCCTCACTATATACAACATACAATGAGAAACTGATGGCTTCGTGAGATTGATATTTTTTGGTATACGACTTATCATCCGACAACTCGGGATTGCATGACGCTATGGGTGCTAAAATACTTTCAAAATCGGCATAGCATACAAAGGGGACTCTCATCTTTTTATAATGATTGCGGAAATAAACCCGTGGAGGAAAATCCCCACTTTCCGTAGTAATCATTTTTGGTATTTTTACACGTATAGGATTATGATTGTTGCAATTTTCCTTGTGTGTTTGTAGTAGACGCTCCTCTCCAAAATGCATGAGGCAACGATTACATATCCATTTTGGGTGTTGATTTTTACTGATTTGAGACCTCACTAATCGACTTAAGTTTTTTATCCAACAATAGTGAGTATTACCTCCTGCGTCTTTTAAATACAACAAATTTACATGTCTGTCTTTTTCAACTTTAGTTATGTATAGTGGGTATGTAATATATTTTGATTTCTTTTCCTCAGTTTCTTTGTAATTTTTCTTGTTGCATCCGGGATAATCTTCAAAGTATTCCCCGTCATTGATATTTTCTTCATCTTCACAAGCATACACATTTACAGAAACCCCCGATCGTTTTTCAAATTTTAACACATCAGTCAACGCTATTGGGAAATCAATATCTTTCAAAGCATCATCGAATTCGTGTTCATGTTGTTTATATTGTGTAACTCTTTGAGGATGCTTTGCAGCAGGATAAAGGGCTGATAAAACAGACCACAAGAAACACTTCTGGTCGTTGTTTCTCACATTTATTACAGCCTTTTTACTACTTATTCCTTCAGGTAATTCTATATAACTCGAACCCCTGATTGGCTTGTATTTATTTATATACAGCTCTAATCTAATAATTTTGCTAAGTGACCAACCAGAACCTTTTTTTGAAAAATCCTCCATTTCCGCTAAGAGATCCCCTATAGCAGTCTCAAAATATTCTGATAAATCACTTGCTAATAAAATAGGTTCATATTTTGTTTTGTAATTAAACTCTGCGATTTCTGGATCCCTCACATAATCAATCAGCAATACAAATCTAACTTTAACTTCAGATGTTTTCAGGTGGTGTTGAATTTTCTCAACAACTAAACTTTTAAGTCTATTTAAATATGTTTTGGGATCTTTTATATTATGATTGTTTTCTATTTGATAAATATTCAATCTCCTCTTAAATGCGCGTTTGCTAAGAGTAATTTCAGCATCAGTAGTCGGAGGATAGTTGGTATTTGTTACAACCTTCTTCATGCCAGAATAAATAGAGGCCGCAGTATTATATATTTTGTTGAACATTGAAGGTGGTGTAAATTGAGTACCAGAAGGTCTAAACCCATTTACCGAACGTATAACCTTTTTTGGGGGCTGTCCATTAGGAGTCGAATCAGGCGGAGGTTTACGTTTTAAGCTACTAATCCCACTAGTGCTGGGTTGAGGTTCTTCTTCATTAGAAGGAGCCAACCGATTTGTTTTAGGTTGTTGTATGGTTGGATTTTGTTTACAATTTTCAACATGACTAGAAAGATAGTTTTCACTGAACAATGTTCTACAATAATCACATGGCACTTTAGGATTCCGATTAGGATTCTGCGGACATATTTTCTTATGTCTTGATATATGAGGCTTAGAAATAGATTTCTTGCAATATGAGCACACCGTAGTGTTAGCCATCACCTCTATATAGAGAACAATATTCTCACAACCAAATAAATTTTCAACGAGATAGCAAAAGACTAATTAAGAACATGTTTTAGTTATCTCCACTATTGATTCAACTTCGACCCCACAAAATAAAAATATATTGTGAGTCAGAGTAGTTATAACCCTAGACTATACACACTCACTTAACACGCTTCACTAACACTTTTATAACACAACTGGCAGTTCAAGCGTACAGCATACTCTATATAGGTTTCTTGCTCTAATCTAGATTGTTCTATGGTAAGTCACGTGTCTGACTCCAATCTAGATTATTCTATGTTGCGTCATAGTGAGTAACGGTTATTCAAGATCAACATTCAATAAATATAAACAAAACTGGACTTCAGAGATATTTACAATAGCGTAAATCTTAAACACCGGACTGGTTAATTACCGATCAAAATGGCGAAGAAATTATAGGCGGGTTCTATGAAAAGGAACTGCAGAAGACTGCTCTCTGAATTTCTGAGGGTGTCCCGAGTCCCAGTCCAGACATTCAAGTCCAAGGAATGAACCCGCTCTGGGGGGCTATTCAAGTCCAAGGAATGAACCAGCTCTAGAAGGTTATTCAAGTCCAAAGAATGAACCCGCTCTGGGGGGCTATTCAAGTCCAAGGAATGAACCAGCTCTAGAAGGTTATTCAAGTCCAAAGAATGAACCCGCTCTGGGGGGATGTACCCGCTCTGGGGGGATGTACCCGCTCTGGGGGGATGTACCCGCTCTGGGGGGCTCTCACCCTCACCCTGGGCTAGAAGCGCCAAATACATAACTACTGCTACATTAGTAACCGGAAACAGCTTGTGGAAATAGCCTACATAAAGAACAACACAAAGTATAAGGCCCAATCCAAAGCTGTAGACGTGCAAAGAGGAGTACCCCAAGGATCAGTACTTGGCCCAGTCCTTTTCCTCCTTCTCACGAATGACCTACCTAGTTGGATTGGGGAAGATGGACACACCACCATGTACGCAGATGACACGGTTCTCACATTTGCGGACAAAACAATGGAAAATCTGGAAGAGAAAACCAACACACAACTCCAGAGAACAAAGCAATACTGTACCTCCAACGACCTAGTTCTAAACGAAAGCAAACCCGTTCAAATGACTTTCACCACTAAACGCAACAACACAGACATTACAATACCGGGACTACAAACACAAAACACCACAAAATACCTAGGCATCATAATTGACTCCAAGCTATCATGGAAACCCCACATAGACCAGCTCTGCAAAAAGCTAAGTTCAAGTCTCTACGTTATACGTAGGATCAAGCAAGCTTGCAGCCCAGAAGTAGCCAAAGTTGCATATTTTGCTCTATTCGAGTCCCACCTCAGATATGGCATTGCGACTTGGGGTGGAACATCAAAAGGCAACATGGAAAGAGTACTCCTAAAGCAAAAAAGAGCAATTAGATGCCTTGCCGACCTACAGAGACAGTTGCCGAGAAGCCTTCAAGAACCTTAAAATTCTCACATCAATTTCACTCTACATAAGAGAAGTCATTATCCACACCACTAAAACAGCCCAGCCAAGACACAGAGACATACACCAGCACAACACACGACATGCCGCCAATTTTTCCCTCCCACAACACCATCTGAGTCTGTACGAGAAGAAACCATCCTACAAAGGTGCTCTGTACTTTAACAACCTACCAGAGCACCTCAAGAGAGAACAACCCAATCTGCTCAAGAAGCACCTGACAACATGGCTTATGGACCGGCCGTTCTACTCTGAGGATGAATTCTTAAACAATAAGCTACCATGAAAAAAAAGAAGAAAAAAAAGAAAAAAAATTCTAATTGTAATTGCAAATTACTGTAATAGTTTACGTACATACTGTACATTTTATGTACCTGACGCATGAATGTTCTCTAGGAATATTTCAATAAAGATTTTGTCTATTGTCTATTGTCTATTGATAAATATACTCAATTAAACATATATAAGGTTATCCCACAAAGAGGTTGCTATATTTTTGTATAAATACCAGTCATGTTGACTAAGCTACAACTAAATCGACGGTTACTTTCTAGCTTACGCTAATTCATCTTACTGTGATAAATAGAGTGAAATTTCTTAAATCTGAGGTGGTAAATATCCTCCCGCGAACAAACTTTAGAGCGCCCAAGTTACTACGTGATAGTGACGTGAGCTTTGTCCAGAGGGTAAAATTCCAGAGGGATGAAATTCCGGCTACCCTGGCCAACGTGCCCTTCTGCACTTTCATTATTATTTTGTACTAGGTGAAACCCGTCGAAATCAACAGTTACATTCAAGCTTACGCTTATTCATCTAACTGCGATAAATAAAGTGAATTCTTACAAGTTTTGAGCATTTAGCATTGTTTAATGAGTAATAAATAAGTGTAAAAAACAATATTGACTGTTGCGTTAGTTACAAAATATGGTTGATCATTCAATGAATAAAATATTTCCAATACATCGGTCATCGGTGTTATTATTACTATGTTAACTGGTTTCTCATCTTTTGGTAGAACCTTTAAATAGTATTAAAATCGTATTGGTGGGTCTATGTAGTAAACACTTCCGCGATTTCATCAGTGTAATGCAGATTAAATCTATGCTTTTATTTGAGAAAAATATCTGTTTGTTGAGAAGGCATGTTCTTACTTCAAAGGGAGATCCACCCTTAAGCTGGATCTCTCTGTAATTTTCATTTCTCCTTCGTTATCATACCTTACTTCTGTTCCAATGAACCTTCTACCATAGTTTAGAGAAGTTGGTCGTGGGGTTATACTGTTTAGTAAACAGTATAACCCCACGACTAAGTTTAGCTAAAATTCCTTGACATGTGGCCGATGTCAGTTGTCTCAGCCTTATCAATTACATAACGTTGTCAATATAATCTTTCTTCGGAATGTTAGATGTGGTGGAATATACTTGTAGTGAAGTGTGTTGTTTAAAATAAAATTTAAATATCAACAGCTGTTTCAAAAGTACCGGTAGTGAAAAATTTTCCATATGTCCGTAATGTAAACAAATCTAGGGAGGGAACTTTCTTTTGATGGTTCATCTACAGACTGTGACGTTCCAAATTGCACCTGCTAGCTTCAGTGGAGAAGGGGGGTTCAGTGAGGGCAGATAGTCACAAAAACAAAACTCTTTTAAACCAAAAATTAAGAATTAAAGAAAAGAGCAAAAATTGATTAATCTATTCTTGCATGGATAAAAATTTATAAATGAATATGATAATAAACCAGTA